GACCCCCATGGCTGATCGAGCTTGGCACTTCATGTAAGTAGACATGCAGGACCGATGTCCGGATGCTGTTCCATTCGGTCAAGGATGCAACTCACTCTTGGCTGGTGCTTTGCCGCGACAGCTCGAGGTCTGGTCCTTGGGCCACCCCCCCTCCCCCTTGTGCGGCCGCAGCACTGGAGGACCCTGACATGGTGGCTATTGGCTGCTTCGCTTCCGGAGAGCGAGCAGGGTGGTATCGACTGGGGGGGGGGGGGAACCCTTCGAACAGCCACATGGAAGCTCTGAAGAAGGCCTGTCGCCATTATTGCAAGGCTGCAAAGGTTGCGTGGGATGCACCACCTCGCTGGATGACGGTTGTGATTCGTGTGGGATGGCCCCGTGTCTCTCGAGGGGTTTGAATGCGGGCGGGCGTGAAGTGAACGTTGCGACCTGTCGAACAAGCCAGCAGGACTAGCTTGTCCAAGCCTAGTGGGTGTGCAGACAGCCGGCGCAACAGCGGTCGAATTACCCATAGGCGAAAAACCCGGTGCTCTCGCCTTGGCTAATGGATTGCCTGTTGATCGTTGACGTCTGAAATCTGCAAGATACGACGCCGGTTGTAGGTCGCGACAAGACGTCGAGCTCGACCAGAGTCCGCTCAACCCCAGGTATCCATTTGCAGCTCTCCAGTTTCCCCCATGCGTGCCCCCTCCGTCGGGGGATCTGTGCCCCGGTCTCGATTCTCCCACCACCTCGTTCATCCTCGATACAGCGAGTCATGATGGCTATATGTTCTGACCTGCACGGTCTCGGTCAGCAGAGCGCGCGTATTCGACGAACGGCGTCTGCGCGATGAAGTCGGTACCCGAGTCGACGTGGCGTCGGCAGATGGTCCGCCAACGCAACCATCAGGGTGGTGGAGGGGTGGTCGGGCGCTGCGAGCTGTCTTCTTGGGGTCTCACGAAGTGATGGTGCAGACGCTCTCCAATCCCAGCTGCTAAGGGCAGCCCTGGCTCCTGGGTTGCATGGTTTCCGTGGTGGATCGAGGTGTCGCAAAGCGGACTGGTTAGTCTGTTGACGAACGAACCGTGACTTGACTGTGCATTGAACTAGGGACGCTCGAGAGAGCCGTGGGTGCAGGTCTCATCAACTTGGCCTGGTCAAGCGCGGCGCTGCATGCCAAGAGACTGTCTTCGTCAGACGATGACATGCCGGTCTTGCCAAGGGGATTGAAGCCAGTGGACGATTCTGGCAGCATGGCAACGAGTGACGGGAGAGCTGAGGTGGTACAATACAGTACAAAGTAGGTACGGTAGCTCCAAGGGGGAGCGAGGGGTGGGCAGGCGCCTGGGAATCCGAGAGTAGTATCTGTAGGCGAGTGTGGCCGTGGATGGCATGGTAGCAAAGCAAGCTGACATGAGGACGCGTGCCTGCCTGGATGATGGTAATCACGATCGTGATGGTACGGTACCTTCTTGCAGAGCTGCTTCTTGCAGAGCTGCACGAATGGAGCTATTGCAAGGATCAGGCACCCCCGGTGCTTCCTGCCTGGCAAGCCTGGATCCAAGGGGAACAGACAGACGGCTTTCGGGAGAAGGAGATGCCGGGAAAGAGTCGGGGAAAGACAGTGTTGATTGGAAGGTACCGGACTGTCGAGCTGAGCCAACCGACGCCACCAATGCGCGGCTCACAGGCGCCTGGCGGCAACCGCGACTATGTGATAGGCTCGACCCCACCTTCTCGCTTCGTAGGCGCCCGCGCTTAGGCACGTCGGATCCAGGCACAAAGCACAAACAAAGGAAACACGCCTCAACGACGACACACACCTTCGCCGTCTGAGATTGGAGAGATCAGGCACTGAACGACAGCCCCGTGACCGGCAAGACGCACAACGAGTCATCCGGGCTTTAGTCTCTCGGGCTGGATGGGTGTCCACTGAAGATACGCCTTGGATCTGCCGATGAGCCTCTGACGACCGAGGTCCACGATGGCCATGACCGCGTCAAGATGGGCTGCCCAGAGGCAGAAGCTCTTCATGTCCGTCTTTGATACGGAAGTCTCACAGCCCACGCCCTACTCGACGCCGTCATTACGATCGACCGACTCGGGGCAGCCGTTCGGTGGTCCGTCTGCTGCAGCAGCCCAACCGCATAGCAACCTCCACTCTCTAGATTCCACAAACACGCCAGCAGCAGC